CCCCAAAACCCCAAAACCCCAAAACCCCAAAACCCCATGCCTCTATTTCAAATTGAATATTATTTTATTATGGAACCAGAGACTGCCAGCAATACCCTGACTCAAAAGGAATTCGTAGTTAATCAGAACCATAAGTTAAGGAAGAACTGATGGGCTTCTCGTGCACAAACAGCTGGTAATAAATTCAAGCTTAAAAGGACAACCACAGGAGCATCACAAGATGCTAAATTGAGTAAGTAAACTGCCTTTGAATAAAATAATGTCTTACAATTTTGTAAAATTCATACTGAATTTAGTATAGAATCACAAGAATCTGAAAACTCTCAAAATGTAGCAAAGAAAATACCAAGGCCAAAGTTTGGATCTAAAAATAGCTTTTATAAAAGCCAGCCATACCTGTTCGGGCCTAACTCCAAGCAGAAGGTTGGAATATACCAAGCTGCAGGCATAAAGCCGACAATAGCGACTCTGGATACAGAGAAATTCGAATTCGGTTTCAAGGCGACTAGAAAAAGACCTATTACAAGAAGCAAAAAGCGTAAAAAGACAAAATCTGGCAAAAGAAAGAAGTTTAGTTTTATGAATAATTATATTAATGAACAGTATAAAGAACTACAGAAAAAGGAGTCCCAGAATACATTTATAAAGATGCAATTGTACAAAGAGATTGGTATACCTCCTTTACCGATTGGGGAAAGGAAGCAAAGCATGACTGTGGACAGAAGGGTTTCTTCAACTACTACTTCAACTAAAATTCAGACGAAGAAGTATTATTCTGATGACCCTTTAGAGAGAATATCAAAACAGTTGATCCAGAGGAGCCTAAACTTGAGTTCAATAAACAATTAGGCCTGTTTAGGAGGATTAGGCCAAAAACTCCAGTCGCAGCTGTGAGATGAAACAAGCCTAAGCCTAAAAGAGCTTTTAGTGCCAAGCAAAGAAGGAGTATTGAGCGGCCAGAGACTGCTGGAAGCAATAAGCATCACAAGCTTTTTACAAAAATCAATATTGGCTCTATCCAGGTACTTTTCTCTGTTAATAATAGCAATTTGCAACCCAAGGATGCGGAGATGTCAAAGATTATGACCTATCTTATAAAATTGGTAAAGGAGCATACGCTACTGTAAGGCTAGCTCATCATTACCCATCAAATGAGAAAAGGGCTATAAAGTTGTATTAGACAGATCAAAATTAGTCGATAGTACTCGTAAGCAAAGTCTCGTGAAAGAAATTAGAATTCTCAAGAAGGTTAATCATCCAAATATCGTTAAAATGTATGAGGCTATTGATACATCAACTTATGTATACTTATCCACAGAGTACATCTCTGGCCCATCTTTGCTGAAATATCTGAAATCAAAACCAGACAGGATAATGGAGGAAGAAGAAGTAAGACTAATCTGGAAACAGGTAGTCCAAGCAATAGCCTATCTTCACAGTAAGAATATTTCACACAGAGATATTAAGCTGGAGAATATCTTATTGACAAAGGACTTAAAGACAGTCAAACTAATCGATTTTGGTTTCTCTACTGTATGATCTCCTTACAAAAAGCTAAAGATCTATTGTGGCACACCATCCTACATGTCACCTCAAATCGTACAGAGAAGAGAGTATCATGGCCTTCCTGCTGACATATGGGCCTGTGGTATCCTTCTTTTCACTATGTTCTGTGGAAGATTCCCATTCAAAGGTTCTTCAGACAGAGAACTATACCGTAAGATCCAGAGAGGGTTATACAACACTCCTGATCATGTTCCGTGCCAGGTAAAAGGTTTGTTGACCAAGATTCTCAATATTGATCCAATAAAGCGGATCACTGCTGACGAAATTCTTGAACATGATTGGGTTAAAAAGTAAAATTTCTGATTCAATTCAAATAAATATAGAAGGGGTTTTGGGGTTTTGGGGTTTTGGGGTTTTGGGG